AACACAACAATGAAGCAAGGCTGATTAATACGTAGAAAGCGGGACAACGACATGAAAGAATCTAAACTGGGCTAAATTCATTCTGGATTTTTGCTTATTGCTAGGGGTCGCGCGTTTTGCGTGTGACATTGACCAATGAGTTTCATCTGAGGTCATTATCATGTGCATTTAGTAGACAATCGGTCCACAAGCCAGTTGTTTTACTTTTTGCTGTTACACCGTGCTGACGAAACCCAACCAGGTCGAAACAGCTGTCCATGGTTGCAATTCTTGGCTTTCAGTTCGGACTCTATCAAGTCGTTGTCCCGTCTATAAGCTTTCTACGTAGTGTAATCAACCTTGCTTCATTGTTATAGAAAATAGATGAAAGTAACTAATCAGATCGTGTTTTTTTGCCATTAGTGTGACTGTTATAATTACTAACGTATGCGCCGACTTCGAGTTTGAAAATGACCGAGGAACTAATTTTATAGATTTGATATTTAGCGATGTAACTAAGTTGGGAAAATCATCGCTACATTTTCATACTATTATTATCAGTAGTTGGAATTAACCGTGCGAAAGCCTCTAAAAGTTTTGTTTCAGATTATGACATGCCCTACTAGCGTCCGCTTTTTGAAAGAACGTTAACATTAACGATCAATAACTCGGACGAAATTCGGCAAATTACTCCAGCTGTTATGTGCTAAAAGCTCTAAGCTTGGAATATTATTTCCAGCCATTTTTTGCACACAACCCTTAGCTTTACTCCAAACAATTACGTAACAGTTTGTACAAGTCATATTTTAGCCAACAAGCTGGTTCACGTTGTTTTTCGCTGATTTTCTCAGCCTCAGATAGCGCCGGAATTAATACGAATACCACAAGCCAATCCGTCGCACAGTCTTCTTCACTGAGTTCACATACAGAATATATTCTCAAAATTTGGGTGTCAAACATCTCAGTTTTGAAGCATTTTCTCTTTCAGGTTAATGAGCCACAACACGGGCCGAGTGAAAATAGATATGGTGTTTATAATATTGAGAGAAGTCAACTTCGTCCTAATTATGAGATTGATTTTTGTGACCTTGAACCAATCAAAGTGTTCCAATTGTCAACGGTAAGATAATTACTGATACCAGGATACACTGGTAATATAATGAAAGGGGGTTTCAATTCAGAATTCCCTCTATGAGGGAATCATATGGAAGTTGTATTCATCACCTTAGACTGAATATTTGCTTTCATGAATACAGCTACCATGATGCCCTAAGGGCGCGTCTCATGATTGCCCACTGAGTGTCGTAAAGCCAGAATCACTCTGGCCAATCGCAAGGGACACAGACAAACCAAATAATCAATCAAAACTAGAAATATGTCATATAATGTCAGCTGTGCAAAGCGCGGGAAAACGTGTGCGATCGAGTCACGCTAGGTTGAGTAAGTATTTTTCAGCCATTCGTGCAGCGTAGCAAAGCAAAACCGGTTACTTTTCAACACTAAATTGAAAACTTCTCTGTGAATTCAATGTTTGATTTACTTCTTTAGAAATACTCGTTTCTAATTCTCACCTTGTGCGATTCAACAGAACTGAATCTCCTGATGCCATTGAGAAGTTGACTGAAGGACTGCAATATTTACTAAGTAATTACGATTCGCGAATTAGGCCTAACTACACAGGTAAGACATTCTTCTTCTCGATTTCGTTTAAATGAAAAATTCCATAATTGTTTATATAAACTTAACGCCTTACACAGTCTAACGACTAAGTCTTATGGCCTGACCGAATTGTTCAATAGAATCAAGTTTAATTCTGTGGAGGGTCATTTAATCAAGCCGGATTAACGTAAATTGTCTTTTTGGTTTGAACTTTTAGTCAGTGCATCAAACTCCCCCTTTCACCCCTCCCTCTTCCTCGTGTATACGACATCTCCTCGAGCGAGGAAAAATAGAAAAATGCTGATCTGACGCGAAAAGTCTGTTTTTCCTAGTAAGCGCAAATTAAATACAGCCTTCGGCAAAGAGGACACATTATTCTGGCTAATAAAAGTCTCAATAAATAGATACAAACGCTAAATGATTGTCCAAACAGGTACAAGGTGAAAATAGATATACATACATTTCAAGTTATATAGAAAGTTCAGCAGAGCGTCCTTTTTGTTTTATTCAAGGTAGTCCAGTTAAAGTCCTGGTTGACATCTCTGTGGCATCTTTTAGCAGCATCAGGGAGGTAGATATGGTGAGTTATCCACCACTGCACTGTGTAAGAGGTTGGTATGGTGAGTTATCCACCTCTGTACTTTGTAAGAGGTAGATATTGTAAGTTGTCCACCACTGCACATGTACTGTGTAAGAGGGAGTTGTATGCCATTTGATGTGTAACAGTTATAGGGTGCATGTGGTTAACTCTTACGTACTAGTTATTTTGAAAGCGATCAAAAAACAAAAACAAAAAAACTACGCATTATTCATCATCGTACGCATGGAAGGAGAAAAAATAATCGTGAGTGTGTTGGGTTGTTTTGTATGGTTTCCCAAGCATACTCCCAGGCGTGGAGCCGGAAGCACCCTGAGAGAAACACAACACAACAACCTCGGCCAGGGATTCCCAATCACGGTTCCCTGGACCAGAATCATGGACCAATTTAGGGACCAGAATTAAGATGCATCTTAAGAATTTTCTCTCGACAAAAGACCTTTAAATTAGAATCAATACATAGGAGGAAGGGCTTTGTGAATCTGCTCCTCTCCACCCCCATGCACTTGCCAGAGAGACCGCCTTGTACGCCTCCCAGGTGTTAATCGCTTTTTCAAAATGGCAAAACTATTTTAATAATTAAAGCAAAGTAATGAGCTATGTCCTATCCTATCGTTAGGAATTTGGATTGGACATGTTCTTTCGTCAGCACTGGCGAGACACGAGGCTTTCTCACAACATGACAGCGAAGATGACGCTGACGATGGGAACCAAACACCCTGCAGACTACATCTGGGTTCCAGACACAATGTTTGTAGACGCCACCAAATCCAATATGCACAATGTCCTTACAACCAATCACAAGCTCGATATCTCTGCAAACGGAAAAGTGGACTGGGGAACAAGGTCAAGCTAGGACAATTTGTGTGGATTTACGTGACGCCGTTTCCGTTGAATTGGACTTTCGAATGACCATTTCCGAGTTACCTTGTGCCTCTGTTTCAAAACGAGTCCTCGTGTAAACCTTTCACATGAAAATGAGTTTGATTTTTATGAAAATAAACCTCCAGGGGAAACACATTTTCATATGAATGGTTCCGCATGTCACCCAGGAGCCCATCACTAGGAGTGTACAACTCCCCTATGTCACGGCATTTTGACAGACCGGTCTATTTTAGGGCTTCTTTTCCGCGAAATAGATCAGTTCCGGTCTACACGGGCGCGCATCGGTAAGGAAAAAACTGGCGGCCACAGTGATTCCAGTTCTTTCCACTCCCTCCCACTTCTCCCTCTTTTTTGCTCACCTCCTCCCGCTTCTTCCCATTTTTGCTCACCCCAGGCGTGCTCGTTTGTTCGCTCGCTTGCTCGATTCCCCGCCTGAAATATGGAAAGGAAACGTCTGCTACGCAGGCTACTATTTTTCTGTACTTCATCATCTATACTCACAAGTGGAAGTTTGTGTTAAGCTAGTGTTTTTTTCTAACTTCATAACAGGGCAACATTGGTAGCGAGGTGTCACATGAATTTGAGAAGATTTCCTTTGGATGAGCAAACTTGTTCCTTAAACATTGTGAGCTGTGAGTAGAGGTTGATCTCCACAGACAGTCTCGCTGGGGGTGCTGTACCATGTAGCCTCAGTAATCGTGTCTGTAACAAAATTCTCGAACGTGATTGGCTCTCCCCGCACCTATCTGTCACGCAATCGGCGCACGATCCCGTGGGTGTCCAATGACAGGTATCCAATTGCAATTACAACTTGTTGTAGTTAAAAACCTGCAATTGGATACTTACGCCATTCGCA